GCGTGTAGGTGGTGATAACACTAGCTATGCCTCTAGCGTCTTGGGCTGCGAGTTCGACAAGAAGAAGGACGGTAGCAAGGTCGTCGGTGTCAATGGCGATGGAAGCGATGTCGATCCTGCTCTGCGCCGCGTGCTGCCTCGCGTTTACATTGACGGACCCTTTGGATCGGCTTCGGAGGATGTCTTCAAGTACGAGATCTCTGTTCTCTGCGGCGCGGGAATTGGCGTCACGCCGTTTGCATCCATTCTCAAGTCCATCTGGTATCGCATGAACTACCCTCAGAAGAAGACGCGCCTCAGCAAAGTTTACTTCTTCTGGATCTGCAGAGATTTCGGCTCCTTTGAGTGGTTCCGCTCGCTGTTGCTCGCCATTGAAGCGCAGGACGTTGACAATCGCATCGAGATCCATACCTACCTGACCGCCAAGATCAAGGCAGACGACGCAACAAACATCATGATCAATGATGCCAACGCTGACAAAGACACCATCACCGGTCTGAGGTCGCCGACGAACTTTGGACGGCCCAACTGGGACATGATCTTCCGTGGAATCAGAAAGCTGCACTCACCTGCTGAGGCTGGGGTGTTTTTCTGTGGTCCTAAGGGCCTTGGCAGTACACTGCATATCTTTTGTAACAAGTACAGCGAACCAGGGTAAGCTCGATTTATCTACCAATTACGTACCGTGTCCCTGAACTAACACTTAAACTGTAGCTTTTCGTTCAAATGGGGCAAAGAGAACTTCTAAAGGGGGCAAGGTGTGGAGCAATTTTATTTCTCTATTCTTATGGTTTTCTTCAGATTGCATGTCTGATTGTTTGCTGATCAGTACATGATCTGAGACTTGTTAGCCATGGGAATGAGCCTCTCGCTGTGGCTCTTGTTTGTTAGACGCGGGCGAACCCTACCTGGCCCGGACGGGCACGCGAGGGTTGAAAGAGGATTCTCTCAAAGAGAACTCGATACATTGTCGGTTGATGTTAATAGGATTTATCACGGCCATATGGCGCATCATGATTAGGATATACACATATACATTACTTCTTTATTGTTTTCATCACTGCTCCAAGGGAAGGTCGTGGTCTCGACCCTTCACCGCGTCAGATCTGGAACGGAAATGGGTGTGCGAGAGATTGCAGCACTTTAAGAAACGTTCAGCAGGGCTCCTCAATGAAGGCAGAATATAAGTGTATGTTTTCACAGTCCATGGTAGTCCCCCGTCAGAAGCTACCTCAAAACTCGAGGAATAAGGCCAAGTACGGTTTGCCAACCAGTCTACTAGCGGTGATATCATCTCAGACCAGTCGCTCCCGAACTCTCCGCCTCACCCTGCCTTACAAGGTACTTGAGTGCTGCGATCTCTCGATGAAGCCCCCAATATGGCAGAACGTTATCTATATCACTTTGGAAAAGAAAGGGTATTGTACAGTCCTTAACAGACATCCCCGCCATGAAGCCTTTGCTCACGTTGTTGCGCTGGGCTTGAGGGCGCCGGAGAGATTCGCGCCACTGTTGGCACTATCGCCGCGGCGGATGATGAAAGTGGACCAGTCGGCGTGGTGTGGCGATGCAAAAACTCTTGAAGTACGACGAGGTGTGCTTTCTGTAAAGTTTGGAAGTTGTCTGCGAGCATCGCAAGCCGGCTTTCGAGGTGTCTTATGGATGCGAGTAGAGGTGGATGATCCGGGAGGCGAGATCAAAAATCGTGTTCCCCTGTGTGGAGCGTCTCGATGCCCGACGGAGTTGAGTGGTTCCAAAAGTAAGATGACTTCTGGTGCTGGGATAGCCGTGGGAAGAGCAGGTGCTTCCAGTGACGGCGACGATGACGTTTCGGGCGACAGGAGAACACAGTTTGGTGCTGTTGTGCGGCGACTCGAGCGATGAGGTAGGGATGGCTGGCGCGTGGCTTGTTCGAGGGGTTGGCTGGCCGTCTGCCTTGGTACACTCTTGAATCGAGGAGCTGGCGCTCTTATTGTGGTTTCAGTGATTGTCGACCTTTTCTGAGAAGTAGTGGTAAGGGCTGAGGCGCAAGTTTCGTAGTGTGTTCTCTGCGGTGATGTTATTGTTGTAGAGTTAACGATACCCCATGTTTGCGAAGCAGCAGGACCGGAGACAGTCCCCCTACGAGAAGTTGACGTTGGCGGGCTGCTTGTAGACCGGGTTTCACTCCGAGAATCAGCCACGAAGCTCGAGTCTTCGGGCTCCGGTATCACCACAAATCTTTGCACCGTGTCAAACTGATACAGCCTAAGGAGGTCTGCGTCCGTAATATCGCGGTCCACGAACCCAGCATCTGTGAACACGCTGCATCTTGATGCTGGATTCGAAGCGTCCACAGACTCGCTCATCGTCTCGTGCTCCTGACGCAAGACAGCTGAGTCGTGCTCCATTAAGCAAATTGGGTTTTCGCGACTACCCTCTTCAGCTGTCGGTAAATGCACCGAAGTTTTGCGGCCACGCCCTTCGGTTGTATGCGCAGAGCCACTAGCCACCATGACGACCCGAAGGGCACCACGGCTACCCTTTTCGACCCGGAAAGGTTCAAGCTGCAAATCTGCGCGATTCCTATATCGCTCGAGTAACCTCTGGAGCATGTTGTGACGCATATCTGGACACGTCGTTATATGCCTGGTCCTGCCCAGGTGCAGGAGTTGGAAATGCAGCTCAATGACGGCATGGATAGCTTTCTCAACCTTTTGTTGAGTGAGCACCATGTTCGTAAGAATTCTTCGGCGATTCTCGTCGAGAATTGCTAGCTTGCGTTTGAGTGGTGACCGGAAGATCTCTGCGATGGGCTTCAGTACCGGGTGTGTCAGATTCCACGCGTCCCAATATTGGAAACCAGCAGCTGTCAAGATGTGATGGATCCGAATGACCCCGAGAACCATGGTCAAGCATTTCCGCTCGATAACATAGAACTCTGCAGGCCAATATCGCTGCAGTTGGAGGCGCTGGAGTTCCAGTAACCGTTCCTCATGGGCATCCCCTCTGTATCGATCGGACTGCGTCATGCTGTTGCCAGTAGGGTAGAACTCTTGGGCCGTCGAGTTGTACAGATGGACTGATAGTGGGATCCGGAAGAGACGTCTGAGAAGTAACCAAAATGTCGCTGCAAAATCATTCCAACGTACAAGATTTGCTTCACAAACAGGCGTCAAAGTCCAGGACACGAAGATGGGGGCGGCTGATGGGTGAGAGAAGCCCTTTAAAGATGCCTACGTTCCGGGCGATGCGGCGGATTGCCCAGGATACGCGAACACGTCTACGTCGCGCCGCGTCTCGGGAGGGGAGCTTGATCGTGAGCTCCGCCACGAGTTCTCGTGGAGCTCGAATCAAGGGATGCCTGGGGATCATGGTGGCCCGTGAGGTTCTCAGAGCGCAGGTCTTGTTTTAATGAAGGTTGGTGTAGGCCCGCTTCATTCAGAGGAGGCCGCACCATTGCTGCACTCTTCATTACTTCTAGACCCATCACGAAACCTTCAGAGTCTCCGTGGGGCCTCCTCTCCAGGAGATGGTGCTACTTCTCTAGGTAGGTAGGTACCTAAGGCAAGAGAGATTGCTTCCTCAGAAAGCTTCAGAGAAGCCTTTGGATAAATTCAGGCGTCGTGAAGGCATTCCCGTTGCGGGTATCGGCTCCTTACACAAATGTTGCATGTTTTCATTGTTTGAGCTTTCTCGATGGCACTCTGCACTAGACTGCACTGCACTACGACAAAGCGACAAAGCATTGTCGTCAGCGGAGAGCAGTATTCCTGGGCGTGACATGAAAACTCTATCGCTATACTAGGGTCCTTGCCTCAGGGTCTACTTACCGAGATGGCGACCTGCAACCGAGACTCCACGTGCAGCGCAAATGGGTTGACAGATGGCTCAGGTAGCAAGTGGCTGTGGGGGTGGCGACTGGGGTGGCGACTGGGGTCTGGTGGGGTGGTGCACGGATAGCCGAGAGCGTCTGGTGGCTCCGACCCTGAAATCACCAACATGACATGACCATCCTGGCCAAGGCCTGCAAACTCCCACCACTCTTGTCGACAGAACACCCAAGCGAGCTGCACCCATGGCCCCCGCCACCCTCTGTCGTCCTAGCCTGCCGCCGACCCGGGCCATTGAGCCGACACAGTGGCCAATCTTGCACAATCCAACGGCCCCTCACTTTTTGGGCCATTGACTCCGTCAGTTGGCTATGGTCATCTACTTTTCCGTTGCCCGTTATGGATATCTCATCTTCACTCCATCCCATCTGGCAACGCCAGGCCGGCGACAGAAAGGTGCGTGTTCTTGTTAAGCGAGCATCAAACAGCCACTTCCTCGCGAGACCGCTTTCGATGCTGGCCAAGTTCATTTTGAACACTTCTCTTTCGAAACCTCGCGTCACAGTCGTTGCTCTCCGCACATAGAAGAGACTTGACCTCCACTTTGACTGCTGAATCGTCGCGCTACCTCTTCGGCATCATGGCTGCTCCCGAGGAAGCTCAGGGACAAGGGCCTGATGCTAAGGCCACCGAGCGCCCGACGTCCGACATATTTGACATGGACAAAGTCGAGCGCGCCAGCTCGATTGCGACCACTATGGACCCCAGCGCTCACGGCGATCTGAACCGCGACCGCGATCACGGTTACCTCGAGCCAAGCCGGTTCTCCTTGTCTCGCGCCGGGCACATTTCGCTAGACGACGTTGAGGCTGTCGACGTCGAGATTCGAAGCCTTGCTGTCACCGTCGATACATCGCCGTCGTGGTTCGAGCCTTCGACATATCCCGACCTGGCAAAGCAGAGATTCAAATCTACACCCGATTCCAAGACATTGCTGCACCATGTCGACGCCTCGTTGGCCCATGGCACGCTTACTGCCATCATTGGCGGAAGCGGATCCGGCAAGACAACGCTACTCAACACCATGTCAGAACGCATGATCAGCTCGCGTTTGTCGCAGGCTGGATCTATCCGCTTCAACGGCAACGATACAGTGCAGATCGTGCGCCACGCCTACGTGATGCAACAGGATATCCTGCTCCCGACTCTAACCGTTCGAGAAACCCTGCAGTACTCTGCCGACTTGCGCCTGCCCCCACCAACCACAGCTGAGGAGCGCACCCGAATCGTTGAGGAGGTCATCTTAGAACTCGGCCTGAAAGAATGCGCGGACACTAGGATTGGCAATCATCAGCATCGTGGCTGTTCTGGTGGAGAGAAACGGAGGGTCAGCATTGGCGTTCAGCTTCTAGCCAATCCTTCAGTCTTGTTCTTGGACGAGCCCACGACAGGCTTGGATGCCACCAGTGCATTCCAGCTCGTCAGGACTCTCAAGAGCTTAGCGACCAAAGGAAGGACCATCATCACGACCATTCATCAACCCCGCTCAGAGATTTGGGATCTGTTTGATAACCTTATCATCCTGACCCGTGGCAGCCCTGTATATTCGGGGCCGGCTAAGGATTGCACCACTTGGTTCGAGGGGCAAGGGTTTCGACTGCCCCCTTTTGTAAACCCTGCCGAGTACTTGATTGACGTTGCTGCCATTGACAATCGAACTCCAGAACTTGAGGGGGAGAGTACAGCTCGAGTTGACAGGCTCAAGGCGGCCTGGACGGAACAAAGTCAAATAATTTTCCCACCCACGGAGCAAAGCGCTGTGCAAACGACAAGCCACAAGGAAAGGAGAGCACAAGCGACGAAACATGCCACATACGGCCGTCAACTACGCATGTTGACCAACAGGACGTTCAAGGTCACCTACCGAGATCCTATGGGCATGCTGGCAGCCGTCGTCGAAGCGGTGCTGATGGGCTTGGTGACGGGATATATCTTTTACAACCTTCCCCGAGATGATTCCGGTATTCGCTCGCGCCAAGGAGGGCTATACACAGCCGCCGGTCTCCAGGGTTATCTCATCCTCATCTTCGAGATCTACCGTCTGTCTATCGATATGCCTACATTTGACCGGGAGCACACGGAACACTGTGTTGACGCTATTCCGTTTCTCCTCTCTCGACGTTTCGCCCGTTTATTCACCGAAGACTTCCCCGTTCCGTTCCTATTCTCTGTCATATTCTACTTTATGGCTGGTTTCGAGAGAGATGCCAGCCAGTTCCTCATCTTCTTCAGCATCACTCTACTGAATCATTATATCGCCATGACTTGTGCTATGACTTGCGTCACAGCCTGTCGAAATTTCCCTGGCGCAAGCTTGATTGCCAACCTGATATATACTATGCAGAGTATGGCCTGTGGCATGTTTGTTCAAGCTGAAAGCATACCCGTATATGTGCGGTGGATGAAGCACATCACATACACTGTAAGCCTTTGTCCATTCAATCCCTTACCATGCCGTCTGTGTCTGACTTTTCGGTTCGATAGTATTATGCTTTCAGCGCATACTGCGGTAACGAGTTTGAAGGGGCGTTCTATGATTGCCCACTACCTGGCGGTCAGTCAGATCCAGCTTGTTACCAGTACACAGGCGAGTTTATTATGGAGTCGCTCGGCTTCCCCCAAAATTGGGTATGGCGTCCCATTGTCATCATGACCGCCTTCGTCATTTTCTTCTGTATCCTATCTGCTATAGGACTTCAGTTTGTTCCCGTTGAGATGACAATCGCGCGAGCCAGAAATTCCGATACTGATTTGTCGGCTGGCAAAGAAAAGATGCGTGCGAAATCAATCTCTGAGGTTCGCACCATCGATGTTGGACTTGACAACTTTGCGCTCGCTCTCGACAAACGCTCTGTGTTTGGTAGGAAGCAACCCACCAAGACAATTCTCAACCCAGTCGATGCGACATTTCAAGCAGGCGTTCTGAATATCATCATGGGTCCTTCGGGCTCAGGAAAGACCTCGCTCCTCAATGCCATGGCTTTGCGTCTGCACAACAATATTGGCACGCAGTACAGACCGGCAGGCAAACTAACCTTCAATGGCGCTGTGCCATCCAATGCAGTGATCAGGTCGATATGCTCCTACGTCTGCCAGGATGACGATGCTCTGCTTCCATCCCTGACTGTGCGCGAGACGTTGCGGTTTTCGGCCGGCTTGCGTCTCCCCTCCTGGATGACGAAGGAGGAAAAGTTCAAACGCGCCGAAGAGGTGCTTCTCAAAATGGGTTTGAAGGACTGCGCCGACAATCTTGTGGGCAGCGATTTGATCAAAGGTATCTCTGGAGGTGAGAAACGTCGAGTCACGATTGCGGTCCAGCTACTCAGCGATCCACGTGTTCTACTGCTGGACGAACCGACGAGCGGCCTCGACGCCTTCACAGCCAATTCGATCATGGAAGTGCTTCAGGGCCTTGCCATGGAAGGGCGCACCCTCATCCTTACGATTCATCAGGCGAGATCAGACCTGTTCAAGCATTTCGGAAACGTCCTCCTTTTGGCTCGAGGCGGCTCGCCTGCGTACGCTGGTTCGGCCAAGGAGATGCTGGCGTATTTCAACCGTCAGGGATTCGAATGCCCTTCACACACCAATCCCGCGGATTTTGCTCTAGATCTGATCACCATTGACCTACAACAAGCAGATCGAGAGGCAGACAGCCGGGAGAAAGTTAGGCGCTTGGTCGAGGCGTGGCAAGACCACCTAAGAACACCAGTGGACATGGATAAACACGAAGCGCATGCTACTCGTTTATCTGGCATCGAGGAGAAAGCAGAAGATGACGCCGATAATATAGCTTGGGGGATCTCGTCTTCGGAAAAGACGCGCTCTCGAGAGAACGAGAATGAGGATGAGCTCCACATATCATCTGCTTCGAAAACTGGACATGAAGCGCACCATCGACCTGCTGTTCCTCCCCCTCGTCAGTCCTTCAACAAAGCCACCCTGGCGACGCCGGCTGAGTTGGGTGCTCTCGTTCGTAAGCGGGCATCGTTCGCAGCAGCAGCTCCACTGCTCATGCACCGGGCGTTCATCAACTTCCGCCGGCAACCACCGCTGCTGTTGGCTCGAACCATGCAAGTCGTTGGCTTAGGCCTTGTGTTATCGCTCTTCTTTGCGCCTCTCAAGCATGACCTTATCTCTGTGCAGAATCGCATGGGATTCGTCCAGCAGGTCGGCGCCTTCTACTTTGTTGGCATGCTGCAGAATGTAGCGGTCTATCCAGCCGAACGTGACGTCTATTATCGCGAAGATGATGACGGCGTCTATGGGGTTGAGGCCTTTCTAGCCAGCTACACCTTTCTTGAGATCCCGTTTGAGGTTATCAGCAGTCTTCTCTTTGGCGTCCTTGCAGTACTGGCTGTTGGGTTTCCTCGCACTGCAGAGATGTATTTTGTAAGTGTGTTCTGCTGCTTCGCCATTGTGAGCTGCGGCGAGAGCTTGGGTATTGTGTTCAACACACTGTTCAGTCATACCGGCTTCGCAGTCAATCTGACAAGCGTCTTCCTCTCTGTTGCCCAGACCATGGCTGGCGTCTTGTCCATCGACATGCCCGAGTTTCTCAAGGCTCTCAACTTCTTAAGTCCTATCCGGTACGCCACAAGGGCCTTGGCACCATTCAGTTTGGAAGGCGTGAAATTCACATGCACTGGCGGGCAGCAGCTCCCTGATGGTTCATGTCCGATTGAGACAGGCGAAGATGTGTTGAACTTGTACAGGCTGAATGTGGACGGAGTGATCAATGTTGCCGCGCTGGCTGCATGCGTAGTAGCCTATCGCCTTCTGGCATGGATCATTCTCAGGTTGGCAAGAAATCGAATGGAAGGGTTGCGGCAGAAGAAGAGAGATGCGGCGAGATAGATGAATCTGAGCGCTGACGGGCCAAGTTACAATATCTTGTACCCATTTTCAGCAGACATATACAAACACCTGACATGTGGAAGATATCCATGCGCTACCCCGGGTTTGTGGTTTGTGAGACACCAAGGCGGGTTGTGGCGCCGTGATCCAGGTCGGAGACGCTTCCGTCACAGCAACCCCTCATCGGCGCCGTAGTCCGACCAGCTGAATGACTCTAGGTTTTGGCTACCGTTTGCGGTCATCGCCTCGTACAATAGGGAAAACGTGGCTTAACCTAGCTTTAGTTTCCATTGGGAAAACGCATATATAGTAGCGGCGCCTTTTGCGTGAAGCTTGGATTTTCTTGATCCCTACACACGTCAATTGAGACTTCTATCATTAAGTCTGATTTGCAGCCTCTGGTATGGATCAAAAGCGACCTTCAACCCTATCGGCATCGCCACCATCGTCTACATCTGCAGGCCTTAATAGAAGCGGGAAGGCCTCACTCTGGTGGGCGGTCATACCCGCCGCGCTCTTGCTAGCATGGCTGAATGCCTCCTCCTTGCCCTTTGCGGACTCCTTGCCGTCAATCTCGCATGCGGCCCTGACGACATCTAGAGAGCAATGTCCTCAATCGGCGCCTATCCGGCCGCTTCTATCAACGTCCAGTTTGGTCGATATGGAGTCGCATATTGCATCTCACGCCTTTCGCGACGCCACCGTCGCCCGACTTGCTGGGGCGATCAAGATCCGTACCGAGACTTTTGACGATATGGGCGCCCTCGGCGAAGACCCCCGCTGGCTGGTTTTCGGCGACTTCGAAAGGTATCTGCGCCAGACATTCCCTCTGGTGCACAAGGTTCTCTCCGTGGAGCACGTCAACACGCATGGTCTCTTGTATACATGGAGAGGCACAGAACCAGCCCTTAAACCGACCGTTCTTATGGCTCATCAAGACGTCGTACCGGTTCCGAACGCGACTATCGGCCAGTGGCAGCAACCGCCATTCAGCGGTGCCTTTGACGGCACCTACATATGGGGTCGAGGTACAGTTGACTGCAAGAACACTCTCATCGGCATCCTCGAGTCGGTCGAGCTCCTCGTTGAAGCCGGCTTTCGTCCACGCCGCACTGCCGTCCTATCATTCGGTTTTGACGAGGAGGTTTCAGGTCCTCAGGGCGCAGCGCACCTCGCGCCATTTCTCGTCGACCGCTACGGCAAGCACGGGGCTGCGCTGATCCTTGATGAGGGCGCGGGTATCATTCCCACCTGGGGTAAGCTCTTCGCGTTGCCGGGCGTCTCGGAAAAGGGCTACCTAGACGTCGAGATCATTATTCGCGCCCCGGGAGGCCACAGCTCCATGCCACCTGCGCACACCAGTGTCGGCATCGCCGCTGAGCTGGTCTCCGCCATAGAAAGCGAACCGTATCCGCCTGCATTTCACGACGAAAATCCTTTTTTGGACTTTCTTCGATGCGGTGCCGCACACGCTGCGGAGTTTCCTATGCCCGTGAGGATGCTGCTGCCAAAAAGAGGCGAGAATACAATTCTGCTAGGGTTTCGCAAGAGCTTGTTGGCCAAACTGGTTGCCAGGGGCGGTGAGCTGATCCGGAGCTTGTTCACAACGACACAAGCGGTGGATGTTGTGCACGGCGGCGTCAAGGTCAATGCTCTTCCTGAGCGAACGGGCATCAAGATCAACCACAGGATCAATATTGGCGAGACCTCTGGTACGATCAAGGCAAAACTTTCAAGGCTGGCAGGTCACGTTGCTAGCAAGCATGGCCTTGCTCTGCACGCTTTTGATGACGAGGCCGAGTCGCCCTTGTCTATCACACTGCGCGTTGAGGGGAGCATTCTCGAACCAGCTCCCGTCACACCCACTGACCTTGAGGAGGGTAGAAGATCAACGCCATGGGCTATCTTGTCGGGTACGACAAAAGCCCTGTACGGAGACCACGTGATCGTGGCGCCTGGCCTCATGCCAGCCAATACGGACACCAAATTCTACTGGGATCTCAGCCGGAGTATCTTCCGTCACTTCCCAGGTTGGGACCCTGAGTACGATACGCTTGATGGAATTCATACCGTCAATGAGAAGATCAGTGTATCGGGCCACATCAAGACTGTACAGTGGTACAGCCTGTTTTTGAGGAACATGGATGAAGCTGACATGAACTGAACTCGGTGTCTCCGCAAAAATGCACATATGAGTACTCGGCAGGTCAACATGAGATCGGTGTACTTGTTTATCTTGCATCATCACGTTACGCCGATATCGTGGCATCATTAAACTTCAAACACTTTTTTTGTCATTTAAGCGTAACTTCCCATGTTCACGGCCGGGATCGTTCTGGCGATGGACCTAGTAATGACTCACTTTGTATGCGACGCGATGAATGGTCCTTGGAGCCGGCACATGTGCCCGGCGGACACCCCGACTGAAGATTTTCAGATAAGGTTCGGTGTGTGCAATGCTTGGCACCTTTAACTGTCGGAATCCCAGATGGGTCATATGCAAGCCGGATATGAGATCTGGTGAGGGGCACAGGAATACCAGCACGGAGCTTGCTCCGTTCGACGCGTGTTGGCCTGAGGGTCGGTGCCATTTTTCAACGTCCACTGCCAACTTGGTCACAGACGGGTGGTGTGGTCGCCACGAGGTGATGCTTACGCGAACCTTGCAAGCGAGTATGTGGTAAGGCTCTTGGCACTGCTCATACTATGTCGGCACCCTGAGACTGTGGGTGTTGTACCGATACATGTCTCGCCAGATCTTGCAGGAATGGCAAGATGTTAACCCGCTGTGCCATCGATCAGGTTGCTTCGAGGGTCCAAGAGCCCAGGGGCTTGGCTCTGTGCGTCCACTTGAAAACGGCTTGTTTCTTAAAATGCCCTCCTTCGAGACGTGATCATGTCACTCGACGTAAAAAACGTCTGTAAACACGACATATTGATGGGCGATTGGTTATTGAATGAAGTCCTGTGTCGTCAGTCCGGTGTCATTGTCCGCAATCAGCTGAGTCGTGCTTAACCCCTGTCCTCTGAACCGATATGATAATCCTGGTTACAAGCACTGCGAGCCTTCGCATATTGCCCGAGGCCGGGCTTCGGCCCGTGTGTTGTTTGCTCCAAGCAGCAGACGCTGTGCCCAGGACCCTACTTCATATGGGGCGTCTACTTACGACGCTGCACCTCCTGGTGTTGCGTTATGAACGAGAAGCGATGCTACGATGCAATCATAGTCATCCACGTTCAGCAGGCCCTATCTGGCGGTGCTTCGATCTATCGTTTTTGCCATGCTTCCCTTGTAATTGATGCCAAGCTCACTGACACTAACATTTCAGTCATGCTCCCCTGGCTCAAAGGCTTTCATGTTGCTGCCAGCGCATGAAGGGCTGAGAAATTATCACAACCTCATGTGGCAATACATCACTTGCTTACTTGCGATCTTCGAGATACTCGGCATTGTAATTGCCGTGAGGACTTCTATACATGTGCCGACTGTACAAAGTCATGCCCGGTTCGTTGTGAATTTTGCCAAAGCCCGCTCTGCCTCACCTCTGGTCAAGGGTGTACTAGCGGGGCTAGATTGGCGACTCCGATGAGATTGTTCAAGCTTGCGCACAAATCCCTGCCCTGACTCGCTCATCAGCAGGAATGCTAACAGCTTGCTGGCGCTTGCTGCACCTAAACGGTCAGTGACCAGGGCACCTCCCAGCACCGTCAAGTCGCTCCAGGGATTCTACATCCCGTTCGCGTTGACGTTTGCCCAATGAAGAGCGAAGAGCTGTGATGGATGACACACAGCGGATTCGCTTTGGACTGGCATTTTGTACACCGCTGCAGCCTAGTCGATCATCTGGTGGGGAGCCAAGTCCTCGGGGCGCAACACTCCTTAACGGTCCAGAGTGAATTCACCCACCGAGTCATCAAGCAGAGCGGTATCGAAACGGCGTGTTTTCCGAATTGATGACGATGTTTGCATGTTTATCTTTGTCCGCTGTATACCAACTTTGACCGCTACAATATCTGGTTTGCCGTATTCCAGCAAACCTCAACGACCCCAAACCACCAAGTTCTTAGCGATAGTTTGCCAGACGATCCAATCCGTGCTCCTCGAGAGTTTGGATGTACGACGCCTAGGTCGATTTTGTAGCACCGTAGGATACCTAAGGGAGTGCATTAAGTGTGACTTTCCGTTTCTCCGGGCCAACGGTCTGTGTAGCGGTGGCTACATATCGAGGGGTCAACCGGAATATAAGGCTGCCTTGTCTATAGCGGTCTGATGTTCATGCTGTCGAACACACGAATTGGGATGCAAGCAGGACAAATCTGAAAGGAGGTCCTAAAACCATCTTCAGTGGCGGATAGATGACAAACCATGGAGCTCTCACTCCTCACGCTCCGTCCCAGGAGTTTTGTTCTCGAGACGATTGGAGAGGCGATTTGCTGGTAACGGGCAGTGAGTGTCAAGTCGGCATTGAAGCGACAGTAAAAATCAAAGGCGACAGAGGATAACCAGTATAGTGTCAGATAGGCAGGGCGACTGGCGGTGTGACGCATGATCTGGCAAGTGGTCATTGTGTTGAACTACTGACGATGGCTTTCATCGGACCCGGGTGGTTGCGCAAGCTCTTCAGGCGGAGTTCCCCGAGGCGGGGAAGATTGTAGGCACTTATTGTTCCACGTGATGCGCGTTCTTCTTGATCTTCCCTCACATATGGGGGCCGACATGGACAACTCGATTTCTGACCGTTAGAAATAATATTTGACGTCGGCTGTGGGCAGGTGCAGAACCAGCATCCTCAAGAAGTGCATCTTTGCAGATGTGGCAAGTAGCCTCGCCATGGACCTGACGATGTCGGGCAGCCAACGAAGCATCTGCATGACGGGATCAACCCAGGGTGCTAGGACTACCAGCAATACCAGGCGGCCAGGCTTGAGGGATGTTGGTGGGAGTGGCTGGCGAAGATCACCCGACGGGAGCGATCTCATTACGCATTGATTGAGAGGGTGTACGTGCGTGGTGGGGCGTCGAGACGGGCGAAGACGGGACGCACCGTTTCGCGAGTCAAAAGAGAGGGTGAAGTGTGTCTGTGGTTGAAGTCGTTTTGGACAGCCCGCGTGATGCCAGTTAAGGCGTAGCGGCAGGGCTAAGGGCGACGGCGCCATAGGTGGCTTGCCCGCTCTGACCATGATCGTCGACCTGACTGAGCAACAGATACTATCAACTCAGCCATGCGTATAAAGGCGGTCGGGACTACAGGAGATGGAGGCTTGGATCAAGAGCGGTCTGGCATGTTGAGACAGTCCCGAGGGCGTCTCATTCTAACCTGGGCCTTGACATAACAAGGCGCAATTCAAAAGGGCCATGCAACTGAACTTTTGGCAGGCTACTTAGGTGCATCTCCTGTTGCTCGTTAGAGCGCGCAAGGCACCGATGACGCGTCGGAAGAGCACAAACCCGGGCTGCGCGTTATGACTGGGGGGGACTTACCATGTACAACAAGGGCTCCAGAAAGCGGCGATCTGGCCGAGAGAGGGAAGAGCGTCGAGGTTAGCAAGGCGCGTGCGCTCAATGAATGGCGGAAAGGAGAATTGCGGCTGCGAGACCGAGACAGGGCCACAAGGCACGCAAAAGGCACAGGCGAATGAGGCGGCCCAGACCGGTCGAAAGGCGTCTGGGGTTGATTTGTGCCCCCCAAGAAATTGAAGCCATCGTGGGATTTCGCAGGCGGACAAGGCGGGGTAAGAGAAGGCGAGGACTTGGCTGGCGGCAAAGGGAACGAGTAGAATGTCCCGTGGGAGGGATCGACTTCCAAACGAGCACCATGCCCTTGCCGCTCATTGTGCCGTGTGTTGTGTTTTGTGGTGTTGCTAGCTGCGCCGGCTTTTCAAATTCCGCTACTGTTCCGCATATACTCAGCCGACGACATGGATCTTCCGTGATGGAACTCGACAGGTCGACGGTGACCAGAGGACGCCATAATCGATTCCGGACTAGTGTTGAGAATGAGAGAGTTGGCTTGCGAAGACGAAGGCCTCTGAGGGAAACTTGATGTTGAGCAATGTCTCTTGCCCCCTCAATTAGTGCATTCAACCTCCTCCCTGGGTACCTAGGTAGGTGGTACCTGAGGTGTTTCGGAACGGAAGGCAAGGCCCCCGCAGGCGACTTGGGCAAGAGGCAGGAAAAGACGTTCCTCCCTCCACCTTGCTCAGAGCCCGCACAGGCCATATGAGACACTGCACAGTCACTACCTGCCAGGGTCCTTACAGCGCTCACTTGGCCCCCGCTTCTACTCAAGAGGCAACTCAACCATGATCACCCCTGTTGCATTGGCCTTGGGATTTGACAGGACTACTCTCAGCTGCCGACCCAAGCCAAGGACGTGGGAAGAGCATTGATTCGGACGCTCGAAAAGCCGCCGAACGTGCTTGCGATGGCGCTTAAGTTTGCGACAATGTTCTCACCACCAAGGCATGCGTCGTTGATGCGACGGTCGCTGGTCGATTGACGATTGCCGATCATCATCAGCCTCTGAGGGACATGAGAGACAAGTCTCGAAACCCGCATTCCTTCTTCAACGGGAACACTGCGCGACCCCCCAAATTTGTCGGCTGTCGGGGTGCATAGTGCTCTACGAGCAGCCTCACGGGTTCCGTCATCGTCGTCCAACCACGAGGACAGCGGAAACTTGCCTTCGTGCAGCCCAGAAACAACGTACCGATTCCCGACACAGGTGTCCCCCCACACTCTGCTCCGCATCTCAAACACTACCATGCACGACCAGGGCTCGGCGCCACAGCGAGCGGAGTATTGCGGTCATCAGGAGGACGAAAGAGAGGGAGGGAGGGCGGATCCCAGCAACCAACCTACGTTGCCTGTCTTTGGACCCTCCTCATCTGCACCAGCCCGGGCACTGCCTGACTGTGACGAAGCCTACCGGCCGTTGATGACGACCGTAGCAGCAGCAGCAGCAATAACCGGTTCAAGACATCGTCCCAGCCCAGAGCGACGCACTTGTCGCCGAGGGAGTTGACCACCAATACAATTGAATGGGAACGAAAGTGGACCGTGCATCAGCCCCCAAAGTCCAGAGCAGAGCGAGCATGTACCATGTAGCCCACCTACCTGATGATGGAGTGAAGACCCATGTCAGGGAAATGGGAAATTCTACGGCCAGCAAATGAGCAAAGGTCTTGGCGCCGTGGGGTTCTGATGGCTCGGAAGTACCCAGTCATCTTGGTTGTGCCATCCACCCTGTCCTTACAGCTCATCACCCGAGAGGGGTCAGGGGGTAACGGCCCAAAGGTATGAGTGAGCGGGGGTCCAGGTCAATGTCAAGGTCAAGGTCAAGGCCGGAAGTCAGGCCAAGCCTAGCTGGTTTCCTAGTCAAGGAGCCTCCAGGTGATCTTCAGACGTTGGCTTGGCTGCTCATCGCCGTGGCCAAAGATGCCACACCCGGGCACCGACCAGCACACCGCATCGAAACACCACTGACGAGGACGACGGCTGTGTCCGAATCTGGCTGCCAACCAGCCTTCCTCTTACCAAACACATACCGAGCCAGCTGCGTGGGAGGAGGGTTGGGGCCGGGTTGGGGCCCCCTTCCCTCAAAGGAGCCAGTCAACGCCCACGAAAAAACTGCTTTACTACCCAGCTCGATGTCCTCTTATCAGAAACCTTGTCGTCAAGTGCAGCGAGGCACTCGGCCGGCAGCAAACATCCTTCATTGACCTCCCGAGGCTACCACCGGTGTCTCGTCAGTCACTCACTCGAGGACCACACACTTGCTCACACCAGATCATCTTGGGTATGGCCGATCCTTGCCATGCTCCACGGCTTTGACGGCAGATGTGGACGCCGAGGAAATCACTTGGCTGCTGGTACGACGTGAGTGGTCATCCCACGATGTCTTCACCCACTCGGCCGACGAGTCGCGCGTCGTGGAGCTAAGGAGGTCGCCCACAAGGTCGATCTTGGAGCTCATCGCCTCCAAGTGGCTCCGAGTGGAGTGAAAATGCGAGACTCCGCTGACGGCTCTCACGACTAATGAATGCCCAAATCGAACGCTCGGCCGCAGGACACTGTAAGGCGACGCCAGGCGAAGGAGCGTAACGCACGATAGTGGCTGTCGCTCGTTGACGAGCATGCATCGTGTTCAGTTCATCCAACCATCCCTGACGCCTTCTCGCTCAAATACCAGCGCCTAGTCAACTAGTATGCTAGCGCACATGTACCTGTGCCCGCAATGCACAGTCAATCCTGGCAGACCTTACTAACTATCGGCGCCTTTTGGCTTCGCAAGACAAGAAGGACCCTGGTCCCCGAACACGGTACCATCCATCTGCAAGCGCAGATGTGTTGACGCATCCCGCTCTTCGACCCCTGCTGACCCCATGTCTCTCTACACGTACAGCAGGTAGGGTAACAGTACTTACAATCCACTCCACCACCCTTCCCGCAGCCTCTCCTGTAGTCCTCGTTCCCCAATAAGACTACCCATGGCCTCAGCTCCTGCCTTCTGCCCCTCCATCTTTCGCTCCTCACCTTGCAGCGATTAATTGTACTTCCATCTCAGCGGGCCGCTGCGGGCTCGATCGCCAAATACATACCATTTGCCGCCTGTTTCCCCGTTAATCTCTTGCCCGCAACAATCAAGACTCGGCTAGTCAACAGTCTCCTTGTGCGTCCCTTCGTCACTACCACAATATTGCCTGCAACCTTGGCCTCGTATTCGTGCCGCCAATTCCCGGACTTGATTTCGGACCGCCTTGTCGAAACGAACTCTGTATATCGAAGTCGAGCAGCGGGTCATATTATCCACCCCTCCCGCGCTTTTCGTGGCATGGTCCCGCTACTGACGAGCAATGGACTCTGCATCGGTACCCGTGCAGTCAGATGAAGGCGATGCCTCCTGGTCTGACAATCATAGCATGTATTCGATCGAGAGCATGCATGACGACGCCTGCCAGCCGCAGTCGCCTGCCTCTGACTCCGCTCAATGGAATCTTGTCGAGTCGAGCTTGCCTACCGGTCACCTCTCACCCATCAGCACCGGCATGGATACTTCTTCCAACTCAGGTCCCTCTACTCACGACACCTCACTTGCCATGCCCAAGCTGGAACCTTTGGATGAGGACTTTTGCCTCGACAATGTCACTGAAGCCCCGGCAGCGGACCTAGACCACGGCAACGCTTCCTCTACGAACCCCAAGCTGAAGCGACCTAGAGGCCGGCCACGCAAACACCCACTCAACTCAGCCATTAACGCAGGCAAGGTCACGAAAGGCCGCTCGAAGACCGGTTGCATCACTTGCCGAAAGCGAAAGAAGAAATGCGATGAAGCGAAACCCCGATGTGAGACTTTGCTTCGGGGAATATCCTGGAGCTTGGCTCTTGCTAACTTCAATAGGTATGAACTGCGAGAAGAACGCTGTCGTTTGCCGAAGGCTACCACGAGAAGAAACTGTGGCGAAGTGGCAAGGACAAGGCATCTGACGGTAAGTTCAAGCTGGAAGACTTGCGCCACACTACATATACTTATTTCCAGCCTTAGACCACACTGAGGCGTCTGAAGATGCGGTAGTGTTCCACATGCAACCTCTTTTCCACGGCGTTGTCACTGTAGAGGACAGACTGTTTTGGAAGCATTACTATATGAGCCTGAGCAATGTCCTCACGGTCGAGGGCGAGGCCAAAAATGCGTTCAAGGACATTATCCTACCCTTAGCCAACAAACATCAGGGCGTCATGCACTCTGTCCTCGCTATGAGCAGTAAGCATATCGACTACGACACACCATACGGTGCCAAACTACTTCAGCAGAATCCCGGGACCTCACGTGCTGCCTTGCAGAGCCGAGCAGACTATCACCACCAGGCCGCTATGGACTCGTTTTACGCAGACATACAACGCAGCGCCGATGAAGGCGAGATAGATCAAAAAACCATCCTCTCAGCTCGCTACGCTCAAATACTCTGCCTACTCATCGGTACGCTCATCGAAGGCAATCCGCATGGAGAACACAGAGTTCACCTACGCGGCTATCAACTTCTCATCCAGCAGAATCCACCAGAGGATCCAACATATCTCGCGTTCATAACTGAGTTCTTCCAGTACCACATCTACGCCGACGAACTCGTTAGACATCCAGGCATGAATGGACCACGACTTACGTGCCAGGATTGGACCCCGCTAGCTTCTGCTGAGGCCCCCCGCCTCCTTGGTGTTTCTGATGGGCTCTTTCAACACCTACCTCAGGTTGCTGCAATCAAGGACACCATCCGGCAAAACATTTACAACGGTGCTGAGACTCGGGTGGACTACCATCTCCTGTGGCGTGCACAAGAGATTCAAGAGGCCATCGAGCAGTGGTCGCCAACATGGCCTGCGGGTGATAGCCGGCATAGAGTCGGGCTTGTGTACAAACACATGATGTTTCTGCACTTGTTCAGAACCATCTATCCACCTACAACTTCGCAGCAAGTTAGCATGCCACCGCTAGCGCCTCCTGCCGCTCCGGTGTCGCCTGCCGCATCTCGTCGTCCGTCACAAGTGTCACGACCTTTGACTGCCTCGAGCTGCTCCTCGTCGCCTGGACTCGGACCGACGACGGCATCCGTGGCTTCCATGACCTTTCAACAGCGTAGTCCGCCCGGATCCCGCAATCCCTCCAGGACAAGCTCCATGCATGAGCTCGATTCCTCGGCCGCCTCCGGTTTGTCGGCGTCCAAACAGCAACACCTATCGCCACCCCCCGTCAGGCGTTCACCCCATCATGATCGACGTATCACCGCCGCAGTTGACGAGTCCCTCACAATGATGGAGGGTTTCAAGCCTTTTGACCCGGCGTTGACATTGCTCCTGGTTCCTTGCCAGATTATCGGTGCTGCCTGCTTTGATCACCCACAACAGGAGCGCGTTCGTGGTATCATTCGACAGGTCCGAGGCTACACGGGCTTACGCAATTGTGACCGGACCAGCGAAGTTCTAGAAGAGGTCTGGCGGCTCATGGACGAGGGCGACTGGCTGTCCGCTTGGGATTGGCAAGGCGTTGCGCTGAAGATCGGCGCCGACTTCCTATGCACATGATTGTCATGATCAGTTGCTGGCATGTCGAACCAAGCGCAATCATCGTTACTGCGAGTCTCCGAGGACCTCGCGATGTCGACGAGGGTCGTCAAATTGGATTTTCGGAGCGATTTCATTTCTCTCATGTTCTTTTTCCTCCTTACTTCTGGGTGGCTTTTTGAAATTTGCTCCGATACCTGCTTCATGTTTCAAAGCACTGTTGTCGGCTGGTTATTAAGCAAGCAGGAACCCGACGGGCATATCATATTGAGGCGGAGTTGGTTAACTGGATAGGAGGCGGTATCGTCTATTTTTTGGCACGGGATATCTAAGCTCTCGTGAAGAACAAGCTGCTACGGCGTATCCGACCCGTCCGGAACAATTCGGGTATCAGGATTCAAGGTTGGATGGATATTGTGATAGGACTGCGTGGCTGCTGTGCGTGTCATAGTCTGCGAGCGCCCTAGTCGAGCACTCCTAGGAGAGCAATAAAGCTTTCGGGCCCTTGGAAAGGGCAAAGAATCGCGTCATTGATGGATCAAATGCTCGTCGAATTGCATTATTCGGGTCCTTTTCCAGTCTTTGAAAGACTTGGCCTGGGTTGTGGTCCCTTGTTCGCTCGGATATGTCTGTAGGCGGGTCTTTGAAAGCGAACATCCAAACCTGTACCTATGTCCTATGACTGACGAATATGCGGAGGTTTTCGGCAGGCTGAGTCTGCCAGTATGTGGTATTTAGTGTGCCGAACCAATCGGCATTCATAAAGCGCCTTGAAGGCTCCGGTATATTGGACAAGTGTTGGGTTTCTGATTGACAAGGCGCCGATCTGGCGTCTATTCTGATCCACTTCAAGGCAACCTCCAAGATGTTTCATTCCCAAATCGACCTGCCCACGTCAGATAGAAGGGGGGCGGGCGGCTGGATAAGCTGGGTAGTTTTCTCCTTCTTTTCTTTCACTACGCCATTGTGCGCATACACTCATAGGATCGGGACGCTGAAGAGCGGTTCAATGTACATATATGTTGCGTGCCGTTTACCCACTCTTGTGCGCATGTGACAAGTGAGGAAGCTGCAGGTCTGCGTGCATGCCAGGCTTGGCAGGTGGATGGATGGGCGGCGGGGTAGAAGAGACATCGTCGATCCAGTTCTGACGGACTTGGCATGTGCACCTTTTTGGCGGAGTGAAAAGACTTGTCTTGAGACTGGGGACTTGACATCGGTGGAGAGTACGTATAGCATCAAGAGATTTTGTCGAGTGATATCGAGCATTGCTATTATTGGCTGACAAAGAAAAACATGTCGTGCTCGAAATTACATAGCCTGGCCGGTACAGGGCGACCCGCGACCGGCTCTTGTATTTAGACAGTTGATCTTACATCATGCGTGGTAGACAGCAAGGAAATGAGTAAAAGAAACATATGAACCCTCAGGCTGCTGGGGTTCGAATACCGACAGCGACAAGATCATCCCGGATACATGCCGCGATCCTCACCTGGGACCACCTTGACGGTAAATCCGTTGCTCCCCTGTTTGGCGATCTCGTAATGTCCTCCCAGTACCAAATCTTTGGCGACCAATTCGCGCTGGCGGCCAAGACTCTCAATGTCGGCGATGCGGAGTGTCGTAGCTTCTAGGTGCTCGTTAAAGCCAGGTTCAGAACAGATCTGCCGGAAGGATGGTGCATGGGTACCGACGATGCTCGAACATCG